ACCGCCCGCCGCGCGCGCCCCTGCGCCGCCCACCTGTCCCCGCGCGCGCCCCACTCACGGGCCCCTGGACCTCTCCCTCTGCCAGCTTTTCTTTATTCTTTAATTTTTTCCTCCCTAATTTGCCCCCTCTGGTTTTTTCCTCTCTGTGGACAGCTTGGTTTTGCCAGTGTTGTAAACCAAACTGCGGTTTGGAACCCGCAGGCCGGATTCACTCGGACTGATGGGAGGGGATTTTTGTTTTGTTTTTTTCCTCTCTTACACTCAGAAACCTGGAGGTATAGACTTTTAAGAGTAAGAAACTTTCATAAAAATCCAAGCAGCGCACTTTGAGGGTCTACCTGTTCTGTCTTCTACCATGAAGAAAAACATTTATGATTATTATTAATTGGCTGAATGGTAAATTTTCAAGCGAGGTCTGAGTGGCCTGCGTTTGTGTTTGCCCTTTGGTCCCGATCATGGAATCTGTTTTTCAGTTTTCTGTTTTTTGATGGAGTACAGGCCAGTGGCGCCTATTCAAATCAACCTCTCAACCTAGGAGGTAGCATTTTTATAGGAATGTCCACTTCCAGGGCAGTTGTCATTCGCCTTATTTTATGATCTCTAAAAAACACTCAGACGACAAACTCGCCCCCTTTCTCTGTACAGTCAGGTGCTCTGCTGGGGGCAGGAGGTGGAGTGTGATTTGGGACAAATCCCCCCCCCCACTCAGATTTGATTCCAGGGCCTTCATACTCTGTTATATCTCTGCCACCATCACCCTTGTATTTTGAGACAGGGGCTCCCTAAGTTGCACAAACTGCCCTAGGACTTGCAAACCTCCTGCCTCAGCCTCCCAGAGTTCTAAAGGTTTAAATGTGACGCTGAAAGGAATGGCAAGGCTTGGACAGTGCATTTTTTTCTGTATCGAACAGCAAAATAAAATTTAGCCAGGTTGGGTAGAGGCTTTGCAGAAATCCTCAGGTAAGTTTTCACCTTCAGAAAGATCCAAGTGCTTCCGCCTTTGCCTCTCCCGCTCTGTCCGGTCACCTCTGGATAGGGCAGCTGCCTCTTGCCTGTGGGCTGGAGCTGGACAGCCACCGCCTGTCCAGCGCTTCTCTAATGTCCGATGTCTGTCAGCGGCCCTCATCGCTTGTGGCTCTTGTGTCTTTATGAAGCCTTAGCTACAAATTCCAGAGTGCGCAGCGCCTCCAAGATAAAAGTGGGGGGAGAGATGAGGTGCTCAGTGTGATGCCTCCCACATGAACGGGTGCAAGGAGCCGTCTCCCGTTTGCTGATTCTGTTCCAGGTAGGAAATACACTGCTTCTTTTACCAGCAAGTCTTCCACAGGGTCAGGCGACCCCGTGGGGATGTGGAGGGTTCCACTGCCAAGTCACTTAGGGTTGGATGGAGGGGGAAAATGACCTGCCTAGACTGGTCCTGACCCTATCGCAGTTACCTGGGAACTTTGTCCCTGCGTCCTGGCTGCGGTGGAGAGCTACACACATGAGACCTCTAAGTTTGCAAGCAGAACCCAGGAAAGGAAGGATCAGGTTTTCCACCTTGTTTCCAAACCAGATTTTCCTGTCGGATACCCTCAAAGATGGCGGAAGAGGGCAGGTGAGTGAAGAGAGAAGCAATTTCAGGAGAGTTTTTCACCGCGGTGACTTAGAACAGGACCCGGACAGCTTGATGAGTTGAATTCATAATGTAGAGGACTTTGCCAGCACTGGAGAAATTTGCATTTTGTCTTCCATGCAACAAATTGTTTTATGCACTTTGCTTCCTCCCCCTTCTTCCTGTTCTTCCTCTCCCCTCCTTCCCCTCGTCCTCCTTCCTTCCCTGATCCCCTTCCAGGCGACAGTGGGAGGTGCTAGCAGATAGATCTCTTCTCAGGCAGTGGGGACTCAGGAGTCTCCATCAGGGTCTCTTCTCCATCAGGGCTACAGGGTCTTTGTTTTCTTGTGTTTAAAAGGAAAAAGAAAAATCTCCATCTGCACAGGAACCCGAAAGTGCCATGAGAATCTGGTCTATTTCTGCTACCATGCCCCAGTCTAACCCCGTTTATTCTTCCATTCTTCCTTCTGTGTGCTGGACTCAGATCCTTCAGCTGGAGTAGAGTCCTGACTGCAGCCCTCTGAGGGTGTGCCCAGCCTCGGGCCAGCCTTGAGCCTGGCAGAGCAGGGGGCTCCCAGGCAGGATCCAAGGGAGACCTGAAAGGCCCATCACCTTCCTGTCGCCTTAGGCAGTGTTAATCTTACCTTCCTCTCCTCCAAGAGCAAGGTTTCCGTCTCGGTTACAATCCTTTAAACAGTCAGTTTCTTCATCGCTCGGGGGTATCTGTGCTCTCCTCTGAAATAGCAGTTTAGGGGCTCTATTCATCTTCCCGTGCTCTAGTGTCTGGGGTCCTAACAGGGCGAGAGGAGTGGGGAGAGTGGAAGGAAAGAAGGAGGGAGGGAGGGAGGGGGAGGGCTGGAAGAGGAGGAGGCTGCTGTGGTTTGTGCATGCCCCTCCCCCAACCACTCATTCAGGAATTTATTCCCCATATCCTGTGGTCATGGTCTGCAGAGGGTGGACACTTGATCTGACCACGGTGTCTTGGGCTTGGGCCCCTGGGGAGGTGACTAGGATTAGATCAGCTCCTGGTTTATAAGAAGCAGGGGAGAGGCCAGGCGGGCACAGTGCACTCGCTGCCGTTATTATTGACAACGACTGTGCCGCCTTGGGGGTCCGCCAGCAGGAGGGCCGGGGCCAGGGGAGGCCCAAGACCTGGCAGCTCCAGAACCGCAGGTCCAGAGGCCTCTTTTCTTTATAACATGGCCTGCTTCAGGTGGTTTCATGAAGCTCTAAGAAACAGGCTAACACCGAGGGGAAGGGTGGAGGGAAAGGAAGGATGGGAAAGGGAGAGGAGGGAGGGGAAGAGGGCAGGAAGGCAGGGAGGAGGCGGGCAGGAAGGAAACACTGTGGGAACGTGCCTATCACCCACAGGGCACTGGGCATGTCCCGGCCATCTCCTGCAGTTCCCCGAGATAGGCCTCAT